GCAGTATTTTGGGTACCTCTACTCCATGTGGGGTGGTTTGCATTGAGATCACCTGTAACAATGATCGGTTGCCGTAGTTGGTTTAGATAGAATTCTAGTTCATTTAAATTTATTGTGCCACCAGGGTTGTATATACCCAGAAAGGATATGTGTGTACCATTGTAGGGTATTAGGCATGCTAAAATTTCTAGCTTACCATTTACAAAATGTGTAAGCGTTACAGGTTTACATGTCATGTTACTCCGTGTTAGGAGGAAAATACCACCACCCATACGGTTTGGTCTGTCCAGTCTCTGCATCTGAAAGTTTTTAAAAATAGGATTTTGTTTAGGGGTGAGCCAGGATTCGGTTATGAAAGCTAAGTCCGGTTTGGATGAGTAAAGGAATTGTTTAAGTTCTGTGAGAGATGAATGCTTTTTGCGTTCCAAGTCATGAATGTTAGGGGAGCCATTTAGGATGTGTGGGTTATGGATGTGTCTGTTTTCCTTGGCATGCCAGTAGTAGTACGTGTTGGATATCTAGATGTGGATGTGGGCTGTGCCTTACTCTTGGTACTGGCGGTTTGGGTTTGTGACAAGTCAGCCTGTGGAATGATTTTGGTAAGGCGTGCTAGGGAGTTATTTATTAGTTTTTCTATCATCTGTTCTAACAATGTGTGTCCAGCAATGGTGGCTTTGTTTGGGCGGATGTCAGTGTCTGTAGCTGTTGATGGGATGTCTTTTGGGTCAGCCTCAGGAGTGGGTTGTGTTACTTGTGTAAAGAATTTAGTTAGCAGTCGGTCCAGCGTCTTTTCTAGTGCATTTTCAATGCGCGTGACAACAGTTTCAACAAGATCATTTTCAATGCGAGTGACAAGAGTTTCAACAAGATCAGGATTCAGTTGTGCATTTTGTGAGGGATGGTTGGACCCTGGGGTTGTGGGAGTGTCGGTGACAGATATATCAGGTACAGGCAAAGGCTGTGTTTGAGTGTGAGGTAGTGTTTGATGATGGGCTGTGTTAGGTTGTTTCAGTGCACTACTGTATAGCAGGTTGTTGGTAGGGAGAACCTTAGTTTTTGCTGCTGCTGCTATGTATGAGGGACATTGTTTGAATGTAATGTCGTGGTCGCCACCACAGTTTGAGCAGGTAAGTGTATCTGATGTACAATCTTGCGTGTAATGGGAACCAGAGCATTTCCCACATTTAATGTCTTTGGTGCAGCCTTTCCAGGTATGGTTAAAACCTTTACATTTAAAACACTGAGTGGGACGTGGTATATACACCTCTAGTTTATGGAGGAAGCCATTTAACCAAATCCTCTCAGGGGGGATGTAGTCTAGAAAGGTGAGCAGAGCAGTGCCTGTATCACTCAGTTCTCCGTCTGTTCTTCGCATAAATTTTTTGATTCCATGGATCGGGATGTCATGTGTCTCAAGTTGTGCTTTGATGTCGTCTACACTGATGTCTACAACATGTCGGATTACATATTTTGTTAATCGGTCCCCAAGTGGTTTATAGCACTTGACTTTGTGGCCACAGATGTCAGTAATGTCTGAAAGCTTTAGTTCTTCGCCATGTTTGTGGTCCACTACGATCAGGTTTTTCTGTTTATTTGGTCTCATATTGTGCACATCGATCCCGAATATCTTGGGAATGGCATTATATAAGATACTTTGTGCTCGGCTATTTCTGAACACATTTTCCTCTTCGCCATCAAAGGCAATGATGAAAGTTTGCAAATCAGAAGAACTTAGCCTACCTTGGTTGAGCTGTGGAGGTTGATACTGAGGCCGCGTGGTGCCGGCATGGTCTCTGTTTACCTCTGTAAGTTGGCGGCGTTTCGCCTCCAATCTGTTTGCCTTGCTGTGATGTTTGCTGTCTAGGAAAACTCCATCTAGATCCTCTTCTAAGACCGGGTGATGTTCATGATCTAAATGTGTGGTATGCAACAGTGGTTCCCCAGTGTCCTCTAAGGTATCGTCAATATTTGCAGGAGAGACGCTGCGCGAACCTCCACCAGACGCCATGACGCTCCCTGATCACCTTTTCCTCCTCCCGACGACTGCCTGAGTTACTGTTGTCACAACAAACACACTTGTGGGTTGAGTGGTGGTGTTTTACATCACGTATTCTATGAAACGCGAATCACATTTAGCAACTAAATGATATCCGAACTTATACAATGGGGGATTGAATCAGGAGTCATGGGCTAAACACGCTCTTACACTGGCACTGTTAACATCAGCATATCGTACTTTATAAGTGCTGTGATGGAATTAATTAAATATTTAATTTCAAAAAGTACAGATCAGATTACAGTGGTTACTTAATAGGTACAGTATTTGTATATTTTATAAAGCAAATAAATTATCCACAGTGTTTCGGGTATAAATTAAGATGAGTGTTCAGTTTTACATAAACTGTGTAGTACTTAACACAGAGAGATGTTAAGCTAAATTCCCTAAAACGGTTTATAAAGGTCAAATTAACATTATATCACTAGCCATGGCTACTCTAAGACAGTTAACACAAGTACCAACTTGCCGTGTTCAGACCTGGGTCCACCCAATAGGTGGCGACATCTTCAACAGGTGGCAGAACTATCATACCTTCTCTCGACTGACCATTTTCTATGTCGGTTTATTATGCCTTTTTATTACTATGCTATAAATGGTAGCAGACAGGTTACAAAGGCTTATTTCCATGTGTTTATGGGCTCAAACGTTTAGCTAAGCAAATTAAATCATGTTCGTTATGATAATAATTATAATTATGATTGTGTAACGTACGTTTATGTTACGTTGTTGGGTAAATTAGATACAGTGTATAGTGAGTTTTTATATTTATTTAGTTGTCTTAGTTACAGCAGTCGGTTGCTGGCAGTGTCGTAGACGTTGAAACGAAACTTGGAGCAGAGCAGAGAGCTGAGTGAGTTGCGGAGCTCGATGCGGAACTGTGAGTGTCTGAACTCAATGAAGCCGAGAGCATGACAGTTCGATGCGGTAGTAGTCTGCTGTCTTCTCTATGTCGAAGTTGGGGCGTCTTAGGGTCAATTAGACCTGCATACACCGAGTGCTACATTCTTGAGGTTGAAGAGGTGTGGTAACTCCAAAGGGTCTGTACTGAAGTTAACTGAATCACTGTGGAAATTATACTGATGGTTATTCGATTGATAAAGATTAAGCCACCCAAGAGATGGCACGGACATGAATAGCCCGTAACCCTAAAGTTATTCGCTTCTTGATTGCTTGTATGATTAGAATACACCTCATCTCATTATCCTCCAATAAGTTGGAAGGAATGTTAACTGTAATTAGGGAAAAGATTTGAGTTCATCATTAGTGCTAATGAAAGTTGCCATTAAGCTAATGAGAAATTGGAGCGAGTATATTATTTACTCGCTACAATTATGATAAGATACCACATGAAAAACTGGTAAAGAAATTACAGGCACATTGAATAAATAGAAGAATACTAGAAAAGGATAAAACAAAGAAAACAAAGAGTGGTGCTAAATGGGAATGAATCTGATTGGAGAAATATGGTAAGTGGGGTACCACAGGTTTCCATTTTGGGACCAACCCTTTTTGTCATATACATCAGTGACACAGATGAGAATATTACAAACCACATTATTAAATTTGCAATGTCATAAAGATTTATGATAAAGCGGGAAATGATAATGATGTTGAAGCCTTACAAAGAGATCTGCAGGAACTCCATAAATGGTCAGATGGCTGGCAAATGCTTTTTAATATTGACAAATGCAAGACCTTGCATGTGGGGCATAACAACCCACGCTACAACTACCAAATTAATAATATTACATTACAGGAGATTGATGAAGAAAATGACCTTGGAGTCAATATCCACCACTCAATGAAAGCTGCATAGCAGATAGGAACAACAGTTAAAAAGGCTAAACAAACACTTAGAATAATCAAGAGTACCTTTGACTTCAAGTAAAAGAAGGCAGTGATTCAATTGTATAAATCTCTGGTGCGCCCCCATTTGGACGGTCTCCAAGCATGGAGACCATATCTTCAGAAGCATACAGCTGCTCTGGAGAAAGTGCAACACCGGGACACAAAAATCCTTCCAGTGCTAAGTCAACTCACGTATCAGGAACGGTTGAGGGCCACGGGGCTAACAACACAATAAACCAGGTCGGATCTTTTTGAAACTTTTAAAATACTGAACGATTTGGAGGATGTTATATCTTGAGGTTATCTTGAGATGATTTCGGGGCTTTTTAGTGTCCCCGCGGCCCCGTCCTCGACCAAGCCTCCATCCCCAGGAAGCAGCCCGTGACAGCTGACTAACACCCAGGTACCTACTGCTAGGTAACAGGGGCATAGGGTGAAAGAAACTCTGCCCATTGTTTCTCGCCGGCGCCCAGGATCGAACCCGGGACCACAGGATCACAAGTCCAGCGTGCTGTCCGCTCGGCCGACCGGCCCCCCTGTTGATCAGAAAAATTTCTTCTAAAGGTCAGATGTAACACAAACAAGGAGCAACGGTTTCAAGCTGAACAAGCAGCAGTGTAGGACTGAGAACAGGAGATACGTTTTCGCCCACAGGGTTATTAACCCATGGAACCGCCTACCCGCCGAAGCCGTAAATGCCTTTTACAAAGGTTTACAAAAGTTACAAAGGTTTTACAAAGGTTTCCTGCCCGAAACGCTGCGCGTACTAGTGGCTTTACAATTTAATTTCTTCAATTACAAGATTGTAAATATCATGCTATGTATTCGCACAAACCCAATTTACCTTCTTGCATATAAATAAATAAATAAATAAATAAATAAATGTCAAAACACTGCAATATGATTCGCACATGCATAGTGTAACTTTGTTCACTTTTTTAATTTATTATGGATCTCATATATATATTAGATATATATAATTGATTAATGTAAGTATAAGACATGGTTTACCCATGGGAAACGTAATTAAAGGTTTATGCAATAACTTTATATACCTGGTGCCTGTAACACCTGAGGATATAATTGTAAACAAAGAACAAAACAAAAAACGCAGGCGCGCGTACGCACACGCACGCACCGGGCTGCTCCACCCTTGCAACAGCTGTGCTGCTGAAGTAGGTGTGGCTCCTCTTACCTGCTGCTGCTAACGCAATAAGAAGAGCAACAACAAGTGGAGAGGAGGGTGATGGCACAGGAGGCGAGGGCCAAGATGAAGAGGGTGACGTGCACAGCGCCGGTGAACATCGCTGTCATTAAGTATTGTGAGCATGGCCCCCCGTGTCTTGGCTACTCCCTCAGTCACCCTCTGGCAGTGCAAATTGCACCTCAGCACATTGTTCATTAATTAATACACGCTTCCATTTCTTCTAATCACGGGAGACATCTCCCGTCACGCAGGGTGCAGTCGCACCTCCACAGATCTCCAGTATCAGCTCTTGATACTGGTAATGGCTCAAAAGGGCCACCACTTACGGGCTATTCATGCCCGTGCCACCTTTTGGGTGGCTTAATCTTTATCAATCAATCAATCAATTTCTTCTAATCATATACAGCCTCGCTCCTGTGCCAGATAAGTCCACTACGGGCTCACCATAGCCCGTGCTACTTGGAACTTTTGTTCTGAGTAGCTGAATTTAAACAACAACAATTTCTTCTAAGTGGGTTTAATTGTGTTTGTGGCATTTTTGAGGTTTGCTGAATTCAGTAATATAGGTAAATTATTCAGTTATGATTTAGTTATATTTGTGGGATCAACAAAATGTATAAGGCATTTTAAGATGTGTAAAATGTCAACTGCATTAATGCCTAAGCTGTTCAGTCAGCAAAATTACAGCCACTGATCACTTTGTACAGGCGATGATTAACTTATAATAATATAAAAATTTATTTAGACAAAAGTACGTACTGTACATTCATACATAGGATACAAAAACTATAGGATTCCTAGGTAAGGCAAGTACAATACCTAAAGTCACTTATATGCAGAGCATTTTGGACATAATGTGGAAAAGAAATATGGTAAACAATATACTGTAGATGCTTAATGGGTTAACAGAACAATAGTTTGTAATTTTCAAAATAAATAGATGGTATGCAATTTTCATTTGATTACAGTATTATATGGTAGATATCAGTAACGGTACAGGAATTTTTGGACAACTGAAACAAACCTAAAAGGACTTAGGGCACGGATTTCCATCGTTGGGGACGAAGCTTGTTAGGCTTGTCAAGATCCCCTGCAGCCTAGGCCAGCTATGACCTTCTCTAGGTTGCAACCCACAACGGTTGCCTAGTGCTCGGGTACCTGTTTACTGCTGCCTGAACAGATGTCATATGGAAGGAAATGCACCCAGATGTCTATCCTGTTGTGGGATTTGAACCCAGTATCTTTTGGTTATGACCAGACTGTGGTGTTGGACCCATTACAAGTAAGGAAAGCATAGGCTACTCTTTGGTGTGGGTTAGGGCCACCGATCATGGCTTCAAGTTCTCTACTTCTAAGACTTGTGCCATGACTTTTACGCGGAAACGGGTCGTTCTTCGTCCCTCTTTGTCACTTTATGGTCATCCCCTTGAGTACAAAGATTCCGCGAAGCTTTTGGGGTTATTCCTTGACACTCGTTTGTCTTGGTCTCCCCATATCTCTTACCTCCGTGTTGAGTGCTCTAAGGCCCTTACCCTCCTTCGGGTCTTGTCCCATACTTCTTGGGGGGCAGATAGGCGCACTCTCCTTGATTTACATTCCTCTCTCGTCCTGTCTAAGCTCGATTATGGTTGCCCTGATTACTCGTCTGCTTCTCCTTCTACTCTTCGCCGTCTTGATGCTTTGCACCATACTGGGTTGCGCCTCAGTTCTGGTGCCTTTCGTTCGACTCCCATCCTTAGCTTGTATGTTGACACTGGCTTCCTGTCTCTCCAGGACCGCCGTGATCGCTACTGTCTTCGCTATCTTGCGCGGTCCTTGCAACATCCTTCCTCTCGCCTCTGTCGTGCTTTAACTTTTACCCCTCCTGCGGTTCCTGTTCCTCTTCACCACCTCCCTCATTCTGTCCGGTTATCTCGCCTACAGGATTCTCTTTCCGTTCGTATTTCTGATGTTTCTCCTCGTGTTGTTCCTTCTTTGCCCCCGTGGAGAGTCCCTCTTCCGCGGTTTTGTACATCCTTGACCCGTATCACTAAAGCTTTTACCCCTCCTACGGTTCTAAAATGCCCTTTCCTCGAGCACTTTTCTTCTCACTCCCACTCCCTTTCTGTCTTCACCGATGGGTCTAAGTCTGCGGATGGTGTTGGCTACTCTGTTGTTTTTCCTGATCGCACTTATATGTGTCGCTTACCTCCGGAGACTAGCATCTTTACAGCAGAGCTTTATGCTATTCTCTATGCTCTTCGTCTCCTGCTTTCTCGTTGTCAGTCTTCCTTTGTAGTTGTTGTTGACTCTCGTAGTGCCCTCATGGCTCTCGGGTCCTTTAATCCGGTTCATCCAGTAGTTGTCGAGATCCAGCATTGGCTGTTTCTTGTTCACAGTAAATTTAAGTCGGTTGAGTTTTGTTGGGTTCCCAGCCATATTGGTGTGTCTTTAAATGAGCGTGTGGATGCTGCCGCCAAGGAAGCTGTCCACTCTTGTCCCATCTCTCGTAAAGGTATTCCATATTCCGACTTTTACCCGGTTATCCATTCTTCCGTCCTTACCCGTTGGCAGGCTTCTTGGTCGTCTGTTACTGGTAACAAACTACGTACTCTTAAATGTTGTGTTTCCTCGTGGCCGTCCTCCTACCACCGTAACCGGCGTTGGGAAACGGCTCTGGCGAGGTTGCGTATTGGCCATACTCGCTTAACCCATGGTCACTTGATGGAGCGCCGCCCTGTTCCTTATTGTCCTAGTTGCATTGTCCCTCTTACGGTCGTGCATGTCCTTCTTGAATGTCCTGACTTCCAGGACGAGCGTGTGTCTTGCTTTCCGACCGTCCCTCGCGGTCACCTGTCCCTCAATAGAATTCTTGGTGACTCGGATACTTTTGATATCGTTCGCCTTATGCGTTTTTGTTCCCGTATTGGCATCCTTGGTGATATTTAGCGCCCTCTGATTATTCTGCACATTTGATGGTGCTACATAGCCTTCCCGGTTTGGTGCCTTCTTTTGATAATTACTTACTTACTTGGTGTGGGTTATTAAAATAGTTACCAAGTACTGTATACAAAATATACATAAGGTCGTCCGCAGGCTTATTTGGTCCAGCCAGCTTGCGGTCTATCCCCATGCCTACGACGTTCGCAAGTTCGCAGCCTTGGCTGCTGTTTTTGGTAACATGTCCTTGGCTGATATTCGTGTGCAGGATTTTTGGCAGTCGAACAGGGGTCCTGGCTGCATGGTACCTGGTTAATCACCGCACTGTGCACCTGGTTTCGACAAAAACTTCATAGTGCAATTGTTATGGACATATATTTGTTGTTTTTATAAGTGTTCAGGTAAAGTTAATGTCAAAATGTTTCCAAGCTCAACCACTTTTATTTGAAAGCAGAGTGATAAAAACATTAAAAAAATTAATATATAGCCTAATTAATAATGTGAAGCAAGATTGAGCTGGCCCTTCACAAACCACTGTCATTCTAACCCTGCAATACCAACCTTAACATTTTCTTCACAACCCCATCACAACTATCACTTAATACAGTTGACAGTCATTCGGTGCTAGTTTACATAACGTGAATTAGGAGCTTCATGTTTTTGTTTTTAATTCAGTTACAATATTCTAAAAAGAGTGATAACCAGACCACACACTAGAAGGTGAAGGGACGACGACGTTTCGGTCCGTCCTGGACCATTCTCAAGTCAATTGTGATCTTCTAAAAAGAGGTTTGCTTGATGGGAGTTGGTGTGTAAGTTACACAACCAAAACATTGTTTTGGTGCATAGTGCCCAAATACCATACTCTGACTTAATGACTCCTCACAATTGTAGTGTTTTATACATTTCATAAGATTACAATTTTGCATTATGGCACCTTCTAATTATTCTGCACTTTCGTGTGCATACTGTACTGTACTTCTGTAATTCTTACCGTTTCCCCCACTTTCATTTGGCCTGAAGCAGGCATATTTGTTACCAAGATCAAAGCTCAAAGTGTGTAGGAGTTGTGCTTGTGTGCAAGTTGGTTCACATGATGCTCAATCAAGATGTTTAGGTTAGTGATAGCCAAATATTACTCTCTGACTACATATCTCCTTAATTATTTTGTTTGTTTATGTAGAGTATTTTCTAGATTACATTCTTGTACACATTTAAGAAATTGTCTTAATGTTTGCATGGTACAAGAGTTCAAAGTCTTGCATATCTTTATACCACTACCCATTTATTTCAGGGGGAAAGAGAGATGAGAAGCTAATTTTGCCTTTAAATGACTCCATCAGTTTCACCTTGAGTCAAGATGAAATGTGTGCAAAGACATCAATTGCAATTTCTCCGCATTTCACAGAGGATAAATTTTGGCTAAATGGCAAGTTAGTATGCTTAAATTTACCATCATTATTATCCCTTTTGTGCATGAATGTTTACTTATTTGTTAATTACAATGCAATCTAGGATTTATATGTTTTTTTACAAATAAATCATGTGCATGTATGTTTAATATTGAAAAATATATTGAATATTTATAATGTATATTGTTGACAGATTTGTGGCTTATCAACCCAAATTGAGTAAATTGAAGCAGTTGGAATGAGTATCTGTAAACTAGGCGTCAATTCATATTTACATGCAAGTTGTCCGAAACTGAGCTATTTATCCACCACCATTTAATGAAGGTTTGAAAATGCCAAGTACTTCACTTGACCTGTGATTGAAGAAAGAGTATCCACAAACCTGTACACCTATCCATAATCCTCTAATCCTCATAATGCTACTCTAATTGAAAGCCTTCATTTCAGGGAGGAGTCACTAGAAAATCCAAGAATACAAAATTGTCTGAAAGAGAGTAAGTTACAAGCTTTACCATCTTAGACCAATGTTAAGCTTTATTAATGTTTATATAAGAGACTATTATTGTTCAAATGTTTTTGGCATAATATTAATAATGTAAAGTGTGGTGCTTAATTATAATTTAATGCAGTAGTAAACTGCTGATGGCATTTTTGTTGGTAAAGCATGTGTGAAGGTTTTTTTCTTTATTATTTGCAAAATGTAAGTAATAAAGGATTTAAGAGATTAATGAAAATGGTTTGGATGTATTGTACTCACCTACTTTGCTTGCAGTGTCAAATATCTAATGCAGTGACCATTTAATTTTCCTTTCTACATTTACACTTTAAATTCTGTACTGAATTGGCTTCACCTTATCTAATCCATTCCACTTATTTAAAACACTTACACTGAAGAGGTTCTTTGCTAATGTCTTTCCAACTAATTTGATTTGATAGTTTTCAACTCTGCTGCCTCCTCCTCCTCGCTTACTTTTGCTAGTGTATCTACTTTGTCAGTTTCCTGACAAAGTAGATACACTAGCAGTATGTAGGGTCTCTTCATTCTCTCTTACGGTGTGGTGATGTTTAGTTCCCTTAGTCTTGTCCTATAGATTGGTCCCTTGAGTTAAGAAATGAACCGTATTTCACTAATTCATTGCCACAAATGGATTACATAATTAGTTTTATTTGTTGACTTTCAACAAAGCATTATAAAACACAACTATAATACTGCATAGTCAACCTGTCCTCAACTCAAGTCCATTACATCCAGTAGTCGACCCCATTTTGAGGTTATCTTGAGATATTTTCAGGGCTTAGCGTCCCCGCGGCCCGGTCCTCGACCAGGCCTCCTTTTTGTTACACACCCTCCCCCAGAAGCAGCCCGTAGCAGCTGTCTAACTCCCAGGTACCTATTTACTGCTAGGAAACAGGGGCATCAGGGTGAAAGAAACATTTTACCCATTTGTCCTCGCCTCCACCATCAAACCCGGAACCTCAGGACTTCGAATCCGAAGCGCTGTCCACCCAGCTGTCATTTGCCCGCCCATAGACGCATTCATAAATTTTTACATGCTGTTCATTCAAAACGGGAATTTTCTCAACTATAAATTATTATTATAATAGCATATTGTGCATATATAGGCATAGGTTAGGTTAGGTTAGATGTTTGAGTTCTGTTGGCAATTATTTGTATTTGTATTACGTGGGTGAAGCATTTACAGCGTTGTGGTTCAAACAAAATTCGTCAGTGAAGCACTTGTTCCGGACGTGTTCGAATGAAATCAGTTGTGAGTCGTGTGTAAACCATTTTTCATTCATAAACCAGGGGGTTTGGCGGGTGCATGGAATCACTTTTGGGTGTTTGTTTGGAGGACGGGCTGGCATAGTACTGCTTTTCATTTTGTTAAGGCCTTGTGTTGCTGGAATAAAAGCACATTATGCCCAAGCACAATGACATCACAATAATGTGATGTGTCTGAGAAAATATTGGGACAGTATTATAGGGTCAAACTCTCATACCAAGACTTCCCAGACACACAACCCGCTGAATTGTGACGAGTTAAAAGTATTTCAACCACTATCTTTTTTTAAAGGATTATAGGCAGCATATGAATTTCTTCTCTTTGCTAGAAACTTTCCAACTATTATATAGTGGCAAAAATCTTATCTGTTTAACCACTCTCCCACTTGTGCTGGACGATAGAGTGACGGTCTCGCATCATGCAGGTTGGCGTTCAATCCCCGACTGTCCAAGTTGCTGGGCGCCGTTCCTTTTCCCCGTCCCATCCCAAATCCTTATCCTGATCAGCTCCCAGTGCTATATAGTCGTAATGGCTTGACACTTTTCCCTGATAATTCCCTTTCCTTAACCCCTCTCCTTCCAAAACCTATCCTGTTTTTCCTCTGTCCTGGCATTCTGTTATTTCTTACTCTTATAATTTTCACCCATGCATGCACTTCTTCTGTGATGACTAAGTGAACATATTATGCCTTATCATTTTTAAGCATTAACCTCTTAAAATATTAACTGCACCTCTTGGTAACATCATGCACACCTGACTGTCAACACAGTCACAAAAATTTACTTATTTGTGACATCACAAACTCCTCAACCCCGCAAACACAACTAGGTGAGTACAGTTTCCCCGCCATCCCTCACTATACTGTATTTACCATCCTGGTCTTTTCCTACCATTGACTTTGTTACACTGTAATTCATTTATTGCCTATATTTAATCAATTTTTTTTACAAAACTCATCTTTCCTTATAATTTGTTCAACCTTAGCTACTTTCCTTACAGTCTAGTTCTACAATAAAATAATTGTATTCCAGATTTCTGCTGTTTCACAGTACTTAATACTGTACATCTTTCTGCAGCAATATTTTTCCATGCATCCTTCTTTTTTCCCAACAGAGTCTTTGACACTTTCACTGAACCATTCAGTATCTCTTTATACAGGTATTATGTTCCATACCTGCATATATTTTATATATGTAAGTACTGTATATATATTTGTATATGAATTATTATATTGTTACTGTATATAAGACTTGTAATTTTGTATTTATTGTTTCAGTTCGTCGTAGAGCTTCAAAACGAAAATTGGAAGGGTCTACTGAAGACATATTAAACTGGCATATTCACATATGTTCAGCAAACAATTTCCCCACTGCTGCTGGTCTGGCCTCCTCTGCTGCTGGGTATGCATGTCTGGGTAAGTTTATCTGCCCAGTATCTCTCTCTAATGATTACTTTCCTGTGGAAACTTCCTTTTCTTGAAGTGATAACTTTATTTAGTATCTCCTCAGATTATTTCAAATACCAAAGATTTGAAGACCTAAAACATTAGTCAAAGAAAGATAACTTTTTGTTTAGCTACGGTGAAATTCATGTCTAGGCATTAGGTTCAGTATTCAAACCCTGCTTTGGGAAATAGATTTTATTCCAAGAAGAGTTTTGTGAAGTATAATATTAACTGAAAAAGTAGTAATACATCGGGCAAACCTCTACCAAGTGAGCTCACAGGTTACCCAAGCTGGCAAATTTTTAACTGGTTGTTTCCAATATTCAGTCTGCTCATGAGGGAGGAGGGGGGGGACCACATTGCTGTACTGATTTTCATTGATGTGGAAGTACAGTTTATAATAGTTATGCCCAAAAATTGTTAAGAGAAATGATGGATTCTCGTAATTAATTTCCTTAACAGTCACTGGGTGTGTTGACGCTGGTTGTCAATGGAATTGATTTACCTCTTGTATATGATGGCTGTATAAACTTCAGCTGTAGTATGTAATAGCATGGATAGTCACAAGGAAAACCTGGCCTCGGACTGGGGGGTTTGAGAGTAGGAAAACTCAAATCTGGTTTTGAGTAAATTGCACAAAAACCTCCACACAGTGCTTGACACATTTTTATTGATATTGGGTATCTCAAGGAATATGAGGTATTGTATCATTAGGATTCTTTCCACTGTTCTGTGGAACATATTTTAAGCTTAATATGGTTCTTGTAGATGCTTCAAATTTTCATGATGGCAGGCAAAGTTACGATATAGTTGCCATTAGGAACTAATTTCGATATGCGGCTGTCTTCATCTTCACACAATATCTCTACAGTTGCCTCTTTGAACATTACTCTGCAGTGTATGCCCTTGGACAAGTTTATGGTGTTGAAGGCGACTTGTCATCAGTTGCTCGTCAAGGATCTGGCAGTGCTTGCCGAAGTATTTATGGAGGCCTTGTGAGGTGGTACAAAGGAGAACTGGATGATGGCAGTGACTCCATAGCGCAACCTATTGCTCCAAAAGATCATTTTCCCAATTTAAGAGTCATTATTTGTGTGGTAAGTTTAAAACTCAGTTTTTGTAAGGTTCATTTTAAGAAAAAAATTTAAATTAAACATGAGATGATAGCCAAATGGTACTGGGATAGTATTGGAGACACTGTAAGAGTTCAGTAATCCAAATTCCTGTAACCCAAATGAATGAATAATTTTGTAATAAACTGTGGAAGTAACCAAATAAATGGCATGTGTAACTGGGTAAATGATGCGAGTAACTGGGTGGTGGCTAAAAAGTTGCATACTGTAATTCAGTTTTGGACATTCCTGGTAAGAAATTCAGCCAAGTCAAATGCTTGGCTAACTTTCATGGGGGGTGGGCCCCATATGATTTAGATTACCAAGCCTAAACAGTATTACTGGACTGTTGTAAGCTATGTCGTACATTCTCTGAAAACAGTGGTGGATGAGGGAGAGAGAAACGGAGAGAACTATGCACACTTTCCCCCCCTTGTCCCCTAACTCTTTCGCTGCCTAATTATTTTTCAGAAGTATGCTGTGAACGCATAGTGAAAAAGCTCTTTTCAAGAATAGCTTGTTCATCATTAACTGTGATTTATGTGTAAATAACATTTAAGTAATAAACAGAGGGACTGACTGCTGTATGGAATTAAATTTGGGTATTTGCTTTGAGATTGGGTACAAGCAGGAACACTCAATCCTTTCTTGACACTCAACTCAAGACATGCTGCAGTTCTTCAGGAAGTAACTAACTGAATCAAAACAACAAAAAATCAATTCATTCAAGCAATAAACCAATTATGAATTTTGTGGATACATTTCACTGCCATAGTCTAAGGATTAAATGAGAAATGGAAATGGTTAAGGACATTGAAGAAAAGATGCCTACATATATTTGTAGCAATTGTGTTGCAATAAATTTGTAAATAAAAATGATTGTAGGGACAAAATGCACAAGAAATTTTTTGAGTAACTGATTTATGGATGCAAAATATTGTTTGGAAAAAGTTTTGCATCCAGGGAATAACTGCTAGCAAGATTTGGATAAGTACAAAAATGTAAATAAATATTAGTTTTAATGCAATAAACACTCCAGCTGGCTAATATCAAAAGCAATTAACCATATATATGATAATCCCCCTTCAGAATTGTTTAGCTTTTAAAAAAAATATGAAAATAGTGTGAGTGAGTTACAAGCAATAATTTCATTCCTGACCTGGGAAAGCATTTATGTTGCTTCTTTCATGTGCCTTTGTTACATGCATCTCCAAAAGTGGGCTCCCAATGCCAGTTAGTTGGTCATTTGCTCGTGTAGACCAGTTAGAACCAAATAGTCATGCGATTCTCAAACTTGCAGAATTGAAATTCTGGTTACAGAATCAATTCAATAATGTTGTTCTTTGTAAAAGGTATGACAGTTGATGAAATGGTGATGCTATCTTGAAATCAGAAGTTGCTATTGAGGGTAGAGAAACAAAACTTGTTGATCAAATGGTAAAAGGAGCAAAGTGCCAACCAGTCCAATGTTATTCTAGAGTAGGGAAATTCTTGAACCAAAATGTAAATTATTAGTACAAGCAGGAAAGTCCTGTTCGAGGTGTTTCATAGCCAGACGTTATCTACTTTGAAGAAAGGAATGAGGAAGGTGGTAGATTGTGATGTGAATGAGGCACATTTAACGTGGCTAAAATTTGCTTATTTTCATAACCTTTCAGTGTTTAGGCTTATTCTACAAGCCAAGATGCTAAAGTGCTTTATAATTCATCAATCTATTTTGTTTCAAGTGATCTATAGTGGGTGGCTGCCATAACATTTTCGCATCTGGATCGGCATTTCAAAAGCACCTTTCACAGTACTAGTGGGAAAAAAGTAAGTGGGAGTAATAAAAGAGTCTGTGAATAAATTGAAACAACTTTTAATGTGACATTGGATAAAGCACAATAATTAATATTTTTATTCAAGTTGAAGTTAGACAAAATATGGGTCATAATGTTTTGTAATATGTTTAAGTAAGTGATAACAGAATATCATATAATTGCTTCCCATTGCTAGGGGACAAGAGTCCTGTTGTCTGAGAAAATTCACCAGGGCTGTGAGGTGGCGTGAACTTACAATCAAGGCATTGCCAACCGCATGCTCATCCACTAGACTCCTGTTATATCTTTTGAGGTTCCCTACACTTATGAGTGACTTTTCATAGAATGCAACCCACAACAGTTGCCTAACTCCTGGGTACCTTTTCACTACTAAGTGTAAGGAAACTTACCTAAACTTCTTTTCCTGCCTGAGAATCCAACTTTGGACCATTCAGTTGTGAGCCGACTGTGCTGATCAGTGAGCAGTAAGAAGTTGTGACAAACACAATACACAACTGCAAAATAAAATCTTCACAGTGTTCTTGGGAATGATGGTAGCATTATTAGATAAGTTATATTGCATTCATGTTTTAATATTGAATACTGTATAATGAAGAGTATTATTTTTCAGGTCAGTTCTGGTCGTAAGAAGATAGGTAGCACGGATGGAATGAGACAGACAGTTCTGACTTCAAAATTAATGCAGTATCGCTTCACACAATCTGTTGTGTCACGAATGGAGTCCATCCTAGAGGTATGGTAGTATCGATCTTACTTTTATAAATAAATCTTTATTGCTATTTCACTGGTTAATTTAGTTTTTGTAGTAGCCTTTAATGTTTAATAACTCTTGAATTAGTTTCTTCTGAAAATTCTTAGCTGTTTGGTTTAAATTTTAGTAAACAAAAACCTGCTGTACCCTGTTGGTTTGTTTATAAGATAGATTTGTTGAAATGCTTAAATGTTAAATTTGCTTATGAATTTCTACAAGCTGCTGAGTTGACTAAATTTGATTAGAGTACAGCTGCAGTGTATGGAAAATTAATGCTTTCAGAAAATTGGTATATACAATAGTTATTTTTTGAGATAAGTCTTTCTAGTTTTAACATTTCAACAAATCTGATTAAACTGTCCTTAATTTTACCTTGAAATTGTCTTCATGTAACTAGCTGTGGAATCCCTCTCCTAAATAAGTTGTTTTTGTATTTCAAACTGAAATTTGATGTTGTGGTGTTGGTGCAGGAGTATTGGTAGGAACATGTGAAACATGGAGTGGGAGGTGGAGGATGTGAGCAGAGTGGAAGGTGGAGGAAAATATGCGCTTGTCACAAGACAGGAGGATGGATTGTATACTGTACAACCATTTTCCATTGTAAACTCTTGCAAAGAAGTAAACATGGTGCCTTTTCTTCCTATAATGAATATTTTCTTTGGCTACATACTGATGTGGTAGAATTTTGCTGCTTTCATAATCTTTTCATTGTTTTTTCCCTTCAGTTGTGCCATTTAGTCGTCTTTTTTGCTTGTCCATGTGTATGTTTCGTGAGGCTCTTCTTATTCTTGCTTCTCAGTGCAAGCAAGAGGAAACTGCTTCACCACTGTGATATCCAAACACAGTATGAATTTCTATTGCTAAGGTTTCAAGACATCCATTAAAAGTCTCCTGCTGGAAGGCAGTTGAAATGTTTAAAGAAGATTTACTGTATCATTAATTCATCCCCTCAAGGAAGATGAGTCTCTAGAGCGAAAGCCATCAAAAACAGGGCTAGATTTAAATATTTAGTGTTATAATATTGTACTTTGGTATGATGCCGCAGGAAACTGGGAACATAGTCAGTGCAGAACTTGTAATGAGTGGCATATATATTGGTTAAATTGGATGTGTTAATTGATTTGTTTACTGTTATTGGTTTTTCTATGAACTTATTTATTTTTTGTTTACAGGCAATTGAAAAGAAGAATTGGTCTGATTTTTGTGATTTCACTATTGCTGATAGCAATGAAATGCATGCAGTTTGTCAGGACACTTTTCCTCCATGTGTGTACATGACAGACACTTCCCACACGCTGGCTAGCCTTGTTCATCAGTACAATGATGTGAAAATTTCTCAAGGCGACATCAACCATAAGGTAATAATGATGTACAAATACTGTTCAGTATATTCTCATAATTTCATTAAGCTTGCAGAAAAGAGGAAGACTGATGGATTTCTTGCATGATATTTATATATGAAAGGTCAAAATGGATATGTACATTTATTAAATAGAATGTCCTATAATGTAATGGTCAGCACGCTAGATTCATGGATAAGGAGGCCTAGTCAGAACCTGGCCGCATGGACGTTGATCCACAGAATCATCATTGACTGGGTGCAAGTGTTAGGCATCATTTCTCCATTGTTTGCCCCTGTTCATCTAGCAGTAATTGCTAATTGCAGACCTGGCTGTAAAACAATTTGTGGATTGTGTTCTTGGGAAAACAAGAGGGTGTGGTTTAAATGCTGTGTGGTGGGCTAGCATCCCTGAATATTAAAGAGCCAATAGCACATCGTTTACTTTTCACAAAATTCCAATCCATCATCGTGAATACGATAATTGTGAGGGCTTGGTGCATTAGCCACCTCTCGCTGGCAGGAAAATTAAAAAATGGAAAATACTGTAGTGTAAAGTATTTAAAGTATTTCTGTATTAGAAGGTTTACAGTAACTGAGAAGTAAATAGTGCTTTGAGGGGGGCTGTCACAGTGCTTACATGTGAGATGTTCAGTACTGTATAAACACTAGTCGGTAAAAATGCTTACATTTCATTTCATGAATGTACAATACGATCTATTTAATTTTCGTTTTGTGGTTTTTTATCCTTTGTATTCAAATTTTCTACTCTATAACAAGAGAACAATAGTTTTTTAAATTTAAAAAAAATAAGTTAGTGAGCACCTTGGTCACTTGTAACGATTGTAAAGTTTGAGTTAATGCATATTAACAAGCTAAGGAAGAAGAAATTAAGAAATATAAAGTGCAAAGTTGAGTGAATATAGCAATGAAAGCAAGGTAATAAACCACTGGTTATATGTCCATAGAATACACAAAGTTTCATTTCATGTAAAAAAAAATTAGGACATGTATTGACTATACTACACACGCTCCAAAAATTGCCTCGTGTAATTTGTTGGAACAAAAGTTCATAGCACATCACCTGTATATGTAATAGCTAAAGGATATGATAAGTGTTTACTGGTACTATTACTTAAAAAAAATGCTTTTAAAGTGTGTTTAATTTATTGACTGTTGTGCCTCAGGTGTGCTACACATTTGATGCTGGTCCAAATGCTTGTTTGTTCGTCCCTGGAGCTGTTGTGGATGAGGTCCTGGCACTGTTGCTTCGTGCCTTCCCGCCGTGTTCGTCACAAAAGTCTGATGAATATGTCAAAGGCCTCTCGGCCCATCCAGCTACTCTATCTAAGGTATGCAGGCTGTTATATTACACTGAGGTATCAAATGTGATGTCGAGTTTATCAGTGTGTGTTATGACTGTGGAATGGCAGGATACATATAGCTTGTTTACATAGCACTCCCTCAGACTGTATAGGGACTAGTGCTGTATACAATTTTGTGTTACATTTACTTGTATATCATAGTAGAGTGTAGAACTCTTCCACTGATGTAACAAGGGGAGCCGGTCGGCCGAGCGGACAGCACGCTGGACTTGTGATCCTGTGGTCCTGGGTTCGATCCCAGGCGCTGGCGAGAAACAATGGGCAGAGTTTCTTTCACCCTATGCGCCTGTTACCTAGCAGTAAAATAGGTACCTGGGTGTTAGTCAGCTGTCACGGGCTGCTTCCTGGGGGTGGAGGCCTGGTCGAGGACCGGGCCGCGGGGACACTAAAAAAAAAAAGCCCCGAAATCATCTCAAGATAACCTCAAGATAAGGGGTCACAGCTGTGCCTTACGTACAATGCATATTCCTTAATTGTTCGTAATGTACAGTGTCAAGGCTTTATAAGATGGACTATTTATTCATTTCACATAGTCACACAACCCACTGTGGGAGTTGAACAACAATAAAGTCCAAATTATGTCGTCTGCTATTGGTTGTTAATAATGAGATGTCATTATTTCTAGCTTTGTGAATGACAAATTGTTATGGCCAGGTCAAGCCAGTAACCGGGTTTTTTTCACATAAGGTGCCTTAGAGCCTCTTCTTCCTGATCCTACCCCAAGTCAGTGGTAAGTTCTCAAGAACTGGCAGTAGCAATTAACAGTGCAAGGAATAAAGGGGGGGAACAAACAATACGCAATTACAACATCACCGATATATTATCCATAGAAGCATAACTACACATATGTACACTGTGTCACTTTCACCCCGGACACTCAATAGATCTGCAGTGTTTATCAAATCCCAGTGAGTCCACTATCTTCAAGTACCCGTCGTCCACACTCAATGGTGATCACTGGTGAGTTCACCTTCCTCAACATGGGCCAGTCCAAACACTGTGTCGTTACGATGTCCCAATACCCCACATCCGCTCTCCAGAAACACACTGGCAGAGGATTTCAGCAATACGCTGACAGGGTCATCAAATATTCACGTACAGGGGTAGCTAACACCCTGGAAGAAGTCTCTAGCAACACTTCTCCTGCTCTGAAGCGGGAAGTGAGTACTGAGCAGTACTCAAGATGGGACAGTACAAGTGATTTGTATAGTACAACTATTATGATGGTATCCCTGGATTTGAAAGTTCTCGTAATCCATCCGATCATTTTTCTGACCAATGCAATACTTGCTTGGTTATGCTCTGTAAACGTTAGGTCATCAGATATCATTATTCACATCTGACATTGTAAGTGTAATGTGGAGTGTGTTGTTCAACCACCACAGGTGATCTTGGGGTTGAATAAGGGGTCAGTAATCAGTCTGGGACACCTTAATACCGAACATTATATACATCACTATTACAGTGCAGGTGATGGTCTTGATGCACATGATGGTTTAAAAGGCCTGTCATAAAATAGTGAAATCTAGTACTGTACAGTGTAACCTAGGTATGGTGAACTGTATGGGACCAACTCTGATTCGCTGGAGTGAGGGATTCATTACAACCAGAGATGCCTTCTGGAAGCATATGTGAGATGCTTTGAGTTTGTTTTTCTAAAGAAAAAGCAAGTTTTGCAAACTTGGTTGTTGGATTAAATGGGTTTGACTGCATTTATAAAATTTAACTCTTTTTATATAACAAATAATATATCTGGTAAATAAGAGTATTGGTAAATTTATTCATAAACAATTAAAAAAAAGTTAAATTCAAGAAATTGGTGTCAACCATTTGCATTTTTTCAGCTTCACAACAACCAGAAATAACTAACATTTTAGTCTATGGGTATAAACTCGTCCACTCTGATATACGAATGTGGTTACTTTTTTAATAAATCGATTTAAATGAGCATATGTATGGTGATGAAATTTGTCACTTGATACCATAACACTACAATACTATTTTTGGTTGACTCATCCTTCTGTTTGTTGTGTATATATATTTTATGAACAAAGCTGGGTGACAGACCATCTCCAACACAAAATCCTCAAAGGAAGGAAGATATTACAGAAGTATATGCCCATTCATTCATAACAATATCCTAGAGAACATCACAAAATTTCTAGCTCAATTTTATGGCAATGCCATATGAGGGGGGCCTCGTAGCCTGGTGGATAGCGCTCAGGACTCGTAATTCTGTGGCGCGGGTTCGATTCCCGCACGAGGCAGAAACAAATGGGCAAAGTTTCTTTCACTCTGAATGCCCCTGTTACCTAGCAGTAAATAGGTACCTGGGAGTTAGTCAGCTGTCACGGGCTGCTTCCTGGGGGTGGAGGCCTGGTCGAGGACCGGGCCGCGGGGACACTAAAGCCCCGAAATCATCTCAAGATAACCTCAAGAAGAAGATGCCCCAAGAGAGTGAAGATGCATTTTCCAAATAAGCTAAATTGAATTATTTATGATGGTGTTTAATTGCAGAACCACTTTTCTTCCCATTTTTCAACACACTCTCAGACACCATACGGACTTCTTCCATGAAATTTAGTCGGTATGAAAGGTATAATTATACTGATATGCAGCAGAGCTTCCTCACAAAGGTTTGTTTTCCGACTGTCCCCCGCGGTCGCTTGTCAATCGATAGAATTCTTGGCGACTCTGATACTTTTGATATCGTTCGCCTTATGCGTTTTTGTTCTCGTATTGGCATCCTTGGTGATATTTAGCGCCTTCTGATTATCCCGCACATTTGATGGTGCTACATAGCCTTCCCGGTTTGGTGCCTTCTATTGATAATTATTTACTTCCTCACATAGGTAAAGAATATTAGCTTGTTCCCTACTATTTTACTTCATTTTCAGGAGCTGATGTCCTTGGTAACAGATGAGACTGAGGCGGGAAAACTAAAATACTTGATTCACACCAAGGTAGGTGATGGACCAAGGGTAATTTCTGATACTGATTCAAGTCTTCTGGATGAGACAACAGGTATGCCCAAGCCAGCTGGTGGGGAGGCATAGGGCTTAATAAATGAAAGTCAAATATGGAGTCCATGCAGAAGGATGCTGTCTGAGTATCTGCAGAAGTTCTTGGTTGTTTCAGCATGTCTAAAAGCATGTAGACCCAAGGATAAATACATTATTTAAAGAAAACATCAAACCCTCTTTAATAATATGTATAATATTTGTTTAATTTGGAATAAATAAAACCATAAGATGATGTATGATATACTGACTGTTTAATCAATGAAGTCACATAATGCCAGTTTTTATCACCTAAGTATTCAAGACAGTGAAATAGACATTCAAGGATAGCAGTTTTTTAAGAGATTAGTTAATGTGCAGTATTTCTGAATCTCAAAATGGCAGCTAATTATTTTATGTAAGTCTGGGAAATGGGTATATGTATATCAAAAAGGAAATATGTGCAAGATGTGGTATGAGTGAGAGAATGTAATGTGGAGGGGTATGATCAAATCTTACATGAGACAGTTCAACAAAGTTTATTTTCCAATAGTCAGGGGCTGCCATAAATATTATTTGGTTAGGCTATGTTGGGCTTGGTTGGGTTTGGTTGGGTAAGTTTTAAAATTCATTAACGAACTGTCTTGTATACGATGTGACTCATATTCAGTTGGAGTCTGTGAAGCACAATACACTGAAGTGCTGTTTACGTGATAATAGGATACCAGAGAATTGTTTAACCCAAGTGAAATAAAGGAATAATCATATAGTAGAGGCAGACAACCAGTATCCTGCAATGGAAGTATTAAACATTATATGAAAGGAAGGGTGGGGAAGAAGTTGGGGAGCTTTGAAGAGTGAAATGTTTGTGTGGTGATATCCCCCTTGGATAAATTTCTGCTGTGGCCACCCCTTAGGGGGAGGATTCCTATGAAGAAGAGTAGCATTGGACTATAGGTAGAATATTTTGTTGCAATCAGCCATATGCATTAAATACTGTATCTATTATTTACAAAATTGAATTAATGCATTTATGATAGAACTTGGCAAGTGTTTTGACTAATATGGTGAGCTTGTATGATATTTATCTGCTATAACTACACAAAAATTGGTCTGCATAATACAAAATTAACGTGGGCCTACTGTACTTAATTGATAAATAATTTTAAATTAACCTAACCTTACCTACTTCTGGATAGGTTAAGGTATAATAATAATTGGTCTCATCAATTTAGGTAAGTTTGATTGTTAAGTTTGTATTATTATACATTTTTAGTGTACTAATACACTAGTGTTTGGTTGCTAAGTTTGTATTAGTATACAGTATTAGTGTGTATGACATGTACAGTATACTATGTCAGAAACAAAAAGTCTGGGACTAATCTAGTTCTCTCTAATTAGTGTTCATTTGGTCACCCAACTAGTTACTGGTCACACTTAACCTGACTCTCAAACATGTACGTCATCCATAAGCATAGAGTGTATAATATACAGTTCGGTAACAGGGTTGTTAATTTGATAAAAATACAAATAGGATTCCTTTATTAATTCAAGCAAAGGTTAGACATATACTGTACATGAATGAGTTTGGGTGGATAGGAGCTGCCTCGTATGGGCCAATGGGCCTTCATTCTTATGTTCTTATGTAAGTGATGTATACCGAGTGAAAGGTGTGCTTCAATCCACAGGACATGTTGCTTGAAATAAAATTAATTTGTAATACAAAAATGATCTTTAACAGGTGCCTGCTTTACTCGTTTCAGTTTTGTGATAAAATGTATGAATATTTTCACCATGTCTTATTTTAAGGTGTATGGTATGTATGTAGAGATTTTGTTGACAGATCACTGGTTCAAAATGTGCAAAGAACTGTACTACATTATAATAGTGCCTTCAGTATTTTTGTGGGTTCTTTCTTACCAAGAAGCTTTGTGAAAGTGTGTGTGTGTGTTGGTGTTACTTCACTTCCGAATATTATTGTTACAACCAATAATTGTAATAGTATATTACTTAGCTCTTTGCTCTCAAATTAATCCTATGCTGCATATTAGTATGATGTTGTGTGATGGTTATCTGTTGGTCATTGCCAAAAGGAATAAATATAGCTGCAAACCCTTTCCCGGGTAGCAGTTGTGACCAGTTAAACTGTGTGCTACACACTGCCAGATTAATAAGTAATGATGTACATTGATTTCCATCTTCAAACCAGATACAAAAAATTAATGTTCATGATAGTTTTATGAATACTGAATTTAGATAAACAATTTATAGGAAAAACTGATTTCCAATGTTGAAAAAGTATTGATGACACTAAATGGCAACTAAGAGGAACTTTTAGAAAGTATTTATTGTTGGTATTTGTATACTAAAATAGCTAATTTATTAGTGCATTATGCACCAAATATATATTCTGCTTGGTTAAAGAAATACACATTGAATATGAAAATTAAGTGAAGTTCAAACCAGAATTTATTGGATTAAATGTACAAAAAGGCTCAAGATCAATGTATAGATTGATCAAAATAAAAATATGCACAATGCTGTACTGTATATTACAAAAACCAATTGTGTGTGCATATTGTGCAGGGATGTGCTAAAGTAAAGGAAAGAAATGGTAAAAAAAAAGTTGCACTTGGATGCATTATACAACATACTGTGTATGATGTAAATTGTGCATGGATACATCCTGCAATATGCCATGTTGTCAGTTTCAGTTGGATACATCTTGCAACATACCATACTATAAGTTGCACTTGAATACAGCCATCGATATGGAATGCTGTAAATAACACCGGAATGCAACATGCAGTGCTATAAGTTGCACTTACATGCATCCTGTAACATTATATCCTGTTAGTTGCACTTTGATATATTTGCAACATGATTAACATTACTGGAAACTTGTGTTCCTGTGTGCATTGCACTGCAACACTGCTTGCCACTTCTATGTTTTTCTCGTGTTGCAGTGATATCTGGAGCTTTGGTTGTGGTGCAGTGCTGTCTTATCAATTAGTAATTCAGTAGATGTGGACTAATTAAGGATAAATTGGAGCATTCCTTACCAGTATTAAAAAATCATTGGGATGTTTTATCACCCAACTGGTTATAAAAGCATTTATTAGTTCAAACCACATGATATGTTATTTTTATTATAACCATTATATTGCAGTTTGCCTTGGAATTTTAAGTATAATAAGCTGAAACTGTGTTACATTCAAAGTAACCAAAGTTATTCTTTTGTAAACAAGTTTCTTCCAAGAGATAATGAAAATAGCTGACACATGTGTGTTACTTCTGCTTGGAGACTTACACCCGTTATTTCTTCAGGTGTCAATCTAGCACTACCTCTTTACTGTAATTTTATTGCAAAAATTTGCAATTCGAGTAAGTACTGAAGTAACGCAAACAGGTTTCCCTAGATTTTTATATTCTCCCTCGTGTAAGAAAATGGTAACTACTGCATGTATGTGATAGCAAAACAGTATTATCAGTTTAATGTTTGAGGAACTCCATAAAAGGTCTTCCATCTCTAAATGTGACTGAAATGTCTAGGAATGACTTGCACTGCAGCTATTCCTACATGGATTGAGAGTTCCCTAAAGAAAACAATGCCTATAGGAGAAATATTAGATATAACTAATAAACCACAATAGTACTAAGACAACAGGTTTCCATAAAGTACTGCAATATAATGTGATTTTTATAGTAAATTTGGGATATATATTTTTGTGTAGGTTTTGAAACGGTTGATACTTTAACTACTGTTATAATAGTGTAACCATTCAGGCTAGAAAATATTGTGCCTATACTTGTTATTGATAATAATATTCTTGTTACTGATATTAATAGGCTTGATATTGATATTAGTAGGCATGTTATTAATATTGATATTAATAGGCATGTTTATCAATAGGCTTATTGATATTAACCCTTCCACTGTGCGACACGACTGGGGTTCATCTAGCGTATTATTAATAACCTGTGCAATATGGCTCGAGAAGTATTAAAGTACAGTGGAACCTCGGTTGCCGAATTCCCCGCTTTACGAAATTTTGGTATAGGAGCTCAATTTCTTTGTAAAATTTGACTCGGTATTTGAGGTTTGCCTCACTTCTCGAGTTGATACACATATGGGTCTACCCACAAGTAAGGTGTGTGTCAGTTTGCCAGTGTGTCCCGCCTAGTGACGACCGCACTTGAATTCTTTGTGAAGAATTTTATTGTTTTTGTGCTTTTTTGGTTTCTGAACATGAAAGTAATTACAGTATTATATATCATGCCATGGGTCCCAAGAAAGTCAGTGGTAAAGTTCAACCTAAGAAAACTATTGTGAGGATTACACATAGAAATCACAATAACGTGATGCATCAAATGAACAAATCCAAGATCCAGTAATGCAGGATCCAGTAAGTTCAGTAGAACTTCGGTTTCAACTCTTTTGACCATGTCGTAGCTCAGTTGATTAAGGCAGCGTCTGGGATGCTCTTGGATGCAGATTCGAATCCTCATCACGGCCCTTGTGGATTTGTTCATTTGTCGTGAGGATGATGATAGAGCAAAAACAACAGATCAATGGTAGGGGAAAACATGTCTATAGACAGGTTTTTAGTGAGACAAACACGCAGTGAGCCACAACCAGGTCCTAGTGGTATGCCTGCAAAATGTAAGAGACAGCGTACCCAAGAAATGTCATCACTGCCTGATGTTATAATGGAAAGGGAATTCCAAACACTAACACCTCTTCTCTTTCCCCTCCTTCCTCCCCCCTCTTCTCTCTTCTCACCGTCTTCCATACGCCAACAAGAGTCCTCAATAAAGATGAGATATACATACTGTCTACATACTGTAGTACAAAATATGAATAGTATTATGTATAAAATGTATATTAAAGTTAATTAATATTTTTGGGTGTGTGGAACAGACTACAGGTAATTCAATTTACATTATTTCGTATGCAAAAATTTGTTTCAGTTTTTTAATTTTCGGTTACCGAACCATTTCTGGGAACGGATTAAATTCGTAAACGAAGGTACCACTGTACCACCTACAATTTAAAAATCCCGTGGGATACACAGGACTCGCATCTGCTTCCTCAGGCCTACAGTAAACAGATGCCATCTTGGAAAAAAAATGGTGGGCACCCCTCCTGGGTGTGAGGGACCCCTAGTACTGAGAGGGGAGGCTATAAATACCACATGCAGCAGCAGCAGCAGCTCACAGCACTGCCATGCAGCATGTGTTCACTGCATCACTTGATAATTATGAAATAAATAAGTAACTGTGACTAGCGATGATGGTCATTGAAGATCCCAACTATAACCACTGTATGTACAAGGTTCAGATATCAGTAAACCCAATATTGGTTAGAAAATTCATAGCATGAAGCAGCCATCTACAGCACACAGCCAGGATCTATTGCATCTATGAATCATGAAATGGGACCTCTGGCTCCATTAAAAAATAAACTTGTGGAAAATTCTTCATATTCAAGATTTAGTGACTGGGATTCTGATGATAATAGCAGTGTTGTGGCTAGAGTTAGCAATATGCATAGTATATTGGAAGGCATTTTGCTGTATCAGGTGGCATCAGCAACTGTCTAGTGTGTGACGTTATGCTGTGCTTGAATTATAAGATTACTACACCCCACTATAACTGCTTGGTGGTTCATTTTGGTGCATAAAAATGTAGTTATACTGTATATAATGTATTCATACAGTGTAATAACAGCAAAACAGCATGTTTTATTGTTAACAAAAAATACTATTGTTTGCATATTAGTGATACAAATATATGTGCTTACCTATATTCTGCACATTCTATGTGTGAACAGTGTAATAACAGCAAAGAACAGTATGGAAGTGTGTGTACTGTGTAATAAGAGAAAATGTGTTTTATTGTCCTAATATGGTGCACATATTAGTGTCACGAATGTATTTGAGCATTCCGATGTTTCACACATTTTATTATATAAATTTCTCAAATGTCCTACTATTGAATAATAATACTGCATAAAACCTGAAAAAAAAATCAGAGACATTGTGATATATGTATGTAAAATTATTTTCGTGGCAACCCACATCTGGCCTGGGCGACCTCTGTGGAGCGATTGCTCCATGACCACTCATGAATCGTGACATCCTCACAAGATTTCTCGCTTCACCACAGTCAAAATAATTCACATATAATTGTTGTTGTTTTCCGTGATTGGGGAATCACTTTAATAATACTGAAAGAAGAAACTTTAAAAAAAAATCTCGTGCACCAGCGTGCTGTCTCGCATAAACGGGTGCAGTCCAAGGGTTAATAGGCTTATTATTGATATTAATAGGCTTATTATTGATATTAATAGGATTTTTATTGATATTAATAGGTTTCTTATTGATGTCAATAGGCTTTAAGTATAAATATTAATATGCTTTGAGTATAATATTCCAAATTTTTCTGGGCTTCCAAATAGTAAGATACCTTGCAAGATGACTTTATTTCATATACAAATTTTAATAGTACATAGTCATAAATACTGTAGTTTGTGGCTGCAAGTATTTTAACTTCTGGCATTAGATTTGCCATATTTGTATAAGGAAATTTAAATGTGAACAGATTCATTTATGGGAGCATGTGACTGAAACATGGTACGATACATATTTTGGCGTTTTGGTCCTTCTTGAGATAAAGTATTGTTTGTGCAAGAGTGGTCTTCCAGGGGGGTTAGTATAGCAGTCTTTCATTACACTGTATATATATATATAATTTGTAATACATTACATACTATTTTAAATTATTTTCATTCATTACGCTTATAGTTGCATAATTTTAGTATACAGTGTAACTATTTTCCCATGCTTATGTTTAGTGTAAAGCCAATACAGTACTATATTATTTTCTGCCATAAAATATTATAAATAGTATATGTTGTTTTCTTGACCTCGCTACTGAGATCACCACTCCCACACCCACAAAAACCCTCCCACCCAAACAGTACCAACTCCAACCCGCTTATCCAGCCACACACAGCACACAACCCAACCAAAAACAATCCACTCACCTACATAAATGGCATAACTACTACATATTTGTATCTAAAATTATACCAAAATTCACGAGTCAGATATGATTGACAGATTAGCTATCATATACTGGCCAAGCAATCCAAAGGGCCTAAGAATAAATCTAGTTGAAGAGACAATGTTAATTCATATTCAGTTTCAGCTAGAGTTCAGAGTACTGTATAATCACTCTTGTACTGTCAAAACTCGATTATGGTTGCCCTGCTTACTCGTCTGCATCTCTCTCTACTCTTCGCTGTCTTGATGCTTTGCACCATACTGGGTTGCGCCTCAGCTCTGGTGCCTTTCGTTCAACTCCAGCCCTCAGCTTGTATGTTGACACTGGCTTCCTATCGCTTCTGTCTTCGCTATCTTGCGCGGTCCTAACAACATCCTTATTCTCGCCTCTGTCGTACTTTGACATTTACCCCTACTGTCTTTCCTGTTCCTCTTCACCACCTCTCAGTTTCTGTTTGGTTATCTCGCTTCCAGGATTCTCTTTTGATTCGTATTGCCAATGTTTCTCCTCGTATTGTTCCGTCCTTTCCCTCCCGTGGAGGGTCCCCCTTCCTAAATTTTGTACATCCCTGACCATTTGTACAGCACTAAGGCTTTTTACTCCTCCTACTGTTCTGAAACACCTTTTCCTTGAACACTTTTCTTCACACTCACACTCCATTTCCATCTTCACCGATTGGTCTACATCTGCAGACGGTGTTGGCTACTCTGTTGCTTTTCCTGACTACACTTATATGTGTCGCCTATCTCTAGAGACTAGTGTCTTCACAGCGGAACTTTATGCTATTCTCTATGCTCTTCGTCTCATGCTTTCTCGTTGTCAATCTTCCTTTGTGGTTGTCGTTGACTCTCAGGTTCTTTAATCCGGTCCATCCAGTGATCGTCGAGATTCAACATTGGCTGTTTCTTATTTCCAGTAAATTTAAGTCAGTTGAGTTTTGCTGGGTTCCCAACCATATTGGTGTCTTTAAATGAGCGTGCGGACGAAGCTGTCCGCTCTTGTCCCATCTCTCGTAAAGGTATTCCTTATTTCGACTTTTACCCAGTTATTCATTCCTCCATCCTTACCCGTTGGCAGGATTGTTGGTCTTCTGTTACTGGTAACAAACTGCATACTCTTAAGAGTAGCGTGTCCTCATGGCCTTCCTCCTACCACCGTAACTGGCGAGGTTGCGTATTGGCCATGCACGCTTAACTCAGTCACTTAATGGAGCGCCGCCCTGCTCCTTATTGTCCAAATTGTATTGTCCCTCTTACGGTCGTGCATATCCTTGTTGAATGTCCTGACTTCCAGGACGAGTGTGTATCTTGCTTTCCGACCATCCCTTGCAGTTGCTTGTCCCTCAATAGAATTCTTGGTGAATCAAATATTTTTTATATCGTTCGCCTTGTGCGTTTTTGTTCTCGTATTGGCATCCTTGGTGATATTTAGCGCCCTCTGATTTTTCCGCACATTTGATGGTGCTACATAGCCCTCCCGGTTTGGTGCCTTCTTTTGATAATTACTTCTTGGCTTATGAGCAAAATGATCAGTAACTGACTGTCCTGTAAAATTCTGGTTTGTTCTGAAGATTGTAACCTTTCCACCGCTGCCCACTGGTTAATGGGTGATGAGCAGGATAAACATATCAGTTATGACACTAGCTCTTCACATATGTCAGTTACTTAGAGCAACAACACTTGCATATGTCATATTTTAGAGACTACTTCTGGTCGGTCTCGAGCCCATTGTTGATGTGACGATATGCATTGAATTTTGTAACTAGTGCATCAAAAATGTAACTTGGCTAATTGAATTTTAGGGTTCAGTTCCTGAGCCCATTATATGCCTTTATAACCCTTTCCACTACCGCCCACAGGATGGGTATGGGGTGCATAATAAATTAACTAAACTAAAGAAAAAACTCTGATCATGTAATAATATTGTATATTTTCAAGTGATAAAAATATATGGAATACTTACAAAGATTTGTCAAATAATTAATTATTAAATCATTAATTATTTGACAAATCCTTATGTCCGTAAGTATTTCATACACATCAAATCAAATATATATTTAGGTAAAAGTACATACATACAAAATGAGTTACAAACATAATGTTGGATTTATAGCTAGAGCTAGTACATACATTGTCTAAAGCCACTAATACGCACAGCGTTTCGATCAATACATTTTTTTATAACTTGAACACTGAAGAAATTCTCAACAATAAAATGAAGATGACAAAAGCCTCACACTGTGATGCC